GGGGCTGTGCATCCAGTGCATGTGAAGGCAAAAACTTGTGGGCAGAAGAGATGTTGTACCCAGAGGCACCCAGACTGAGCTGTAGCTCTTCTCGTGCTGACACAGAATATGCTGCTGTGAACGTTATTCGTTCAGAGGATGAGAGACTCAAGCAAGCAGCACGCGGAAGTCCCAAGAGCTGTGTTAGTGGCTGCTGGAAGCCCTCCCCAGTTCCATTGTTTAAAGAAGAATAGATCCATCCCATTTTCACACTCTGCCCTCCGGTTTGGCTTACTCATCGAGGTAGAGGTAGCATTTGTCTTATTCACAGGAAATAGCCATGCTGCTCTTGGTTTGCCTGATAGTGTGGAATTCAAATGGGATGTAGTTCAGATCCACCAAGGTAAATTACTTTAAGACCTACCTACCAAACAGATGTAAGCTTCTAAGCTGGTTATTACAGTAGTGGTAGAAAAAGAAACGTGAGATCGGCTGTTCTGTTTCTTAGAAAGACCACAGATGGGGTCTTCACGGCCCTGATTTACTGCCTGTGCTTTCTTCGACCAGTGCGGTGCACCTCAAGTGTCTATACAGGACTCCAGTGCCATGCGGTGTCTGTTTATTGCTACTGGAATCTTTAGTTATGGGAGACAGCAGCTATCAGTGACTGCTACTGCAGTTTCAAAATATCTTTTTAAGACTGTCTGTTACAAGGTATCTTTTTGATTAGGTCACCCTGCATTTTTGTTGGTAGGCTTCCAACTAGAACAGATTTTTAGCCTGAACTTTGGCTATCACATGTACTTACTAATTCTTCTTGACTCCGTTGGAAGAAACTCCCGAGTTAAACTTACTATAGTGGGTTAATAATATCTGAAATCTTGCCTGAATTTGTTAATTTTTAATTGGAAATATATTGGTAATAATTTTTTTATTAAACTGTATTGCAACATGCCGTTCTGCCGCATCATACTACTTCTGTAGCTGCCTGTATGCCATTGTTTCCATCTCAGTGTAAGAACAGATGTACTTCTATTTAGTACCCCCGTTCAGCTCATACGGTGTTTGGGGGACCAGAAGAGAGTTAGCAGAAGACAGGATCCACGTCACCAGAGATGAAGTTGACTCATTAAGATGTCTCGATAAAAACCAAACAGTCAATTCGTTATTCCTGAGGAACCAGCTAAGCTGCCTGTTTGCTTTCAGCAGGGTTGGGTGTTCAGTACTGACCAAGCTGAGTGCCATGTCTGGCCCCTCTGGGGTTGTCCCCACGGCTCTCCCCACTGAGCACTCACCCCTTCACCTGCGTGCGCTTCAGATTCCCAGTTGCATTATCCCAGTACGTTTTCTGGGTATGGGGCTGCTTGGCAGAGAAATGGGATGTGGAAGCCCCATCAGCAAAAAGGTCAGTTCTGAGTTCCTGAATGTCCCAGTAATCGAAGCCTGTTGTATCCCAGCACTCCGGTCTTCCAGGGGCAGGCAGAGGAAAAAGTGTGCAGGCTTTCTAGAGTTCAAATACAGAGAAATAAAATATCACCCGTTAAACATCATGCAACGTACACAGTTCAGGCAAACTCATATAGCCTTTCACATGAGCCCCTGTCTCAGTGCCTCATCATTTCTGTTGGACCATCCTGAGATGGGGTTATCTCGGCAATCCAGAACTGCTTCTTTGGACAGATCATCACCGTTTTGAGTCACTCTTTCCTTGGAAAGAGTTTTGCTCTTCCTTTACTGCTCCCACAGTTAAAGAGGATTCTTCTGACTTGGAATAACGTACCTGCCTTACCGTCCGCTCTAGGCATTTCAGCCTTGTGCAAAGCCCCGAGTGTGATTTTTACCACTGGTCTTTATTCTTTTGCTGAGAATTCTCAATTTTCCTGTCCCCAGATCTCAGTGGAGTGTGGAGAAAATTTTTTTTCATCCTGGTAGGTCCAGCCCCTTCCGAGGTGTTTTCCTGTGAATGGGAACCTCACGGTGCCATGAGGCACTGCTGTCTGTGGCTGGGGGGGGTGTCTTCAGCAGAGCCCTGGCTGAAAGGGGGTGACCCTGCTCTCAGGCATTCAGTGCTTTGGAAATTCCCCATCATCCAGGGCTTTTACGCTGTATATGGACAGATTTCTGGAGTAATCACAGCTTGTTGCCTTTATGGTTTTGAATCGAGGGGAAAACACTTCTGTTCACTACATTCAGAGCTAGTATCTTATTTCTGCTGAAGCTCCCTTTACACTGATGGGTACTGTAAAAGGTGACTTGAGAAGACTAAATTTACATTTGTGTTCATTTAGAGCCCTTTTACATTGCCTGAATGATGTGTCAGGGAGACTGACAGCCGCCTTTGCCCTGCCTCAGGGTAAATGGGGATGGTGTGAAACCTTCACCCACTGAAACCGATAGCAAAGCTGTCACAGGCTTCCACGAACACTGAATCAGGCCAGAAATGTAGTGGTCGCAGTAGGATTTTCATCGCAGTTTATTCCCTTCCCACATTCAGATGCCATTTGAATTGTCAAAACACTATCACAGATAATTGGAAGTATTTTTAACAGAAACTTCAGAGCAGCTTTTTCCTGTTCTCCAAAAGTCATGTTCTCTGCCCCTGTTCAGCCGTTGTGGATGTCTCGTGCGGGAGTCGGCAGGGCTCTGGGAAGCCTAGGAAAATCTCTTGACCGCTTAAAGCAAGCGAGAAGGCAGGGAGAACAGTTCATCTCCAGGGCTCCGCTACAAAGCTGCTTCTTTGTATGAGGCTTCCTCGTTTGGTTGGGTTTTTTAACGTGAGATGTGACTTTGATCTCTCCTGAAGAATCCAGACCTGTGGTGATTCTCACAGTAAGGTGTCTTGGGAGCTCATTCCCTTCACTGCAGCCTGGGGGTGACGCTTTCAGCCTTAATAATCAAATATCAGAAGAGCACCACAGGCAGCGTTGTATGGTGTTTTCTGTTTTAATCAATGGTAAGGAAAAAGGGAACGCGTTGTTGCTCATCTTCTGTGTTAATTTAAGAACCCAGAGTTACCCCGCAGCAGTCAGGATCAGGCTGGGTATTCCCTCAGCTTCGGGTTGTAAATCAAACCCATTTCACTCAAAGGGGAAGGAGTTCACTGCGAAGGAAACAGGAGGAAGGCTGCATCCAGGGCACGGCTGAACTGGCAGGGTAGCTCAAGGCCAGAGCTCTCCCTCCAGCAGGTTCCCTCATCCACCGCCACGCATACCTGGTGACTCACACCGTGGATCAGGCCTGGATGGAGCCGTCTGTTCCGCAGGCAGGAGAGCCCAGGCGGAGCACGTAGGGACAGAGGGACAGGTCACCTCAACTGCAGCGGCAAGATGGACGCAACTGGCCAGTGCCGTTCGGCTTTGGAAATTCAAACCCAAGCGTAGTGAGTATAGTACGATAGACGCCTCCAGCCACGTGCAGAGTTATACGCGAGTGAGACATCTGAACAAAGAAGGATGCTTTTCCTTTGAAAAGTAAACTATGCAAATACAATTTGCTCTGCTCCAGAGAGAACAAGCAGCTTTGCTATGGATTGGCGCGGATGCCTCACTGTACCAGGCTGCCTTTCTCAAGAGGCAAAGGCCCGCTGGATGTAGAGTCACTGCACGTGACACACAAGATGAAGAACAGGCAGGAGTAACTGTTTTGTAATTAGCGGGATGGGGAGAAACAAACAATTTGCATTGCTCTTTAAAAATGGGGAGGGCTGTGGAAAAAAGAGACTTCCTCAAATCGCTGCAGCAGATGATCTGTATGACTGTATCCTGACCTACCTTTTGTGTGAAAGGGAAGAGTTCTTAACCTTGCTTGGCATAACTGCACAGGTCTTGGTGAGCCTTTTCTTGGGAAGGCAAAAAGAAGAACTGGTATTTTCAGTATGCTGCTTAAGGTTTTTTAAAAAAATAAATTATTTTTGGTTTTGACAGGGTAGGCTGCATAGAAACAGAAATTATTTTTGTGTAAAGAAACATGGAAGTGCAAACAAATGGTTTCATTTTGTTATTTGCAGCTCAAAGTACTTTGAGAATGACCAGTCTTGTTTTGCTTTAGAAGCCAGTTCCAAGGGGATTTTTTTTTCCTCTCCTTTGTTTTTTTTCTGTGTGAACCTCGCGCACACACAATAATTAACCAGTGAAGAAGGTCAGAAAGGAAGTGACTAGGGAAGATGTACTTTAAACACAGACATTCATGAGGCTGTGGGCTGTAATTAACTGGAATGTTTGTCTAAGGAGCCCAGGTTACATGTTGAATATCAGATAGTTATTAAAGAGGCGGTTTTTGATTTGTCCTTTTAATTATCAAGAGCTTTAATGGCTCTTCTGTTCTGCCAAATGGATTTTTTTTTTTTCATTTGGAGACTATTTTGAGATTTAGTTCTTTTTTCTGGTTGGGTTTGGTGTAATACCCTTTTTAACATAGGTTTGTTTAGGAAGCATAGGTCCTAGTCAGAAATAGTGTTCAGGGTTATAACATAACAGGAACTTAGTCGTCATGAATAGATGGCATTTGTTATGGACAAACAGCTTTTGGAACTGGAGGAGGAGAAGGCAAGTGTATTATCAGCTTTAGGGAAACTGTGAACCTCTGTGATGAAGCAGTGAGAAAGCAATCCTAAAAGTAGTCAGCTGAGGTGTTTTCTCAATAGCAAAATACTCATTTAATTCTACGAAGCCCCGGTCAGGCCTTATCTGGAGTGAGTGAGCAGGATGAAACAGTGTTAAAAGGTGTGATTGCCAACTGGAACAAATGGGGAGAAGAGCCATCAGGGTGATCAGGGGAGCAGAAAGCCTGTTGCAGGATCTGACCTTGCTTAGCTTTGCAGAAGGAAGGCTGGGAGGGGATCCGACTAATTTTTGCGAATACCTTGCAAGTAGGAAGGAGTGGGAGGAGGGCTATTGAACCTGACTGATGGTGTTGGCACAAACCCAAATGGGCATAGATTACCCATAAATACACTTGGTGATCAGATTACAGTAGAAGATGGTTTCCAAATGTCAGAAGCATGATGCTTTCCAGTGGGGGAAATGGTGTTCCATAGATTTGTGAATGTGGTGACACAGAAAGGTAGCCAACGAGAGCTGTGGATTAGACTGCAGGCGTGGAGTAAGTAGTAGTAAGCTTGCAGACTCCACTCAGGAATTTCGAGGTTTAGACAGTAGCCAGATGCTTCACGTGGGGAGAGGTTTGATTGGTATTTGCGAAAGCTCGAGAGGTAGGACCACTAAGACTTGAAAGTAATGATGGTGTCTTTGTTGAACCCGTTGGAGGTTGTTCAGTTCTGACTTTCTGTGTGCTTCAGGGCAATTTTTAATATCCAGTGGGGTTATTAATGGGGCAGCAACATGGAACTGCCACTGATGTACAGCACATGGTCAGAGGCTGTGCTGATCAGTGCCACCCTTCTGTTTTACTGTGTTTCTCCCCCTATTGCATCAAATGACCTTTCAGCGGGGTTGATGTCAGGCAGTGTAATAGCATCCATGCAAACTCATAGCGCCCCTAAGCAGTGCTATAATTGCAGCTGAGCTTGCTTCCGCTTCAAGTTGGGGTGAAGTGCAATCATAGCTGGACCTAAGGGTGTATTGACAGGCTGTGCTCCAAATACAGCTCCCAGCCGCTGCAGAGCCGCCAACACGCAGAAGAAGAAAGGACTGAGAACCCCTCTGGAATCTACCACAGTGCATGTCTCAGGTTCATAAGGAGCCACCGCAGGCAGGAGAAGCGGCGCTGAGTAACGTGGCTAGGCATCAGCTGTGGTTTCACAGCTGAGGACGGGTTTCCTCCTCTGGCTATACTTTCCATCTGGAAACAATGTATGTCTTGAAAACGGGGAAAGATTTTTAGTTTTTCCTGTGTTCTGCTGCATGGTGAAATGTGGTTTCTGATTTTTCCTGCCAGCCACGCGGTGAAGGGCTCTCTTCTGCGTATCGTCAGGAATTACGCAAAACACGCAACGAGTAAGAGATTGGGTTTAAAGCAGAGATCGTCTGCAACCCCAGGGGCAAGCTTTTAAATCTTGTCAGCCACAGATGCGTAGTGTTTTCCATGCCAAGCAGCCATTTTAATACGTTCCAAATTTTCCTATAAACGCTAGCAGCACGCGTGGTTTGTTCTTGTGTGTGTGCGTGTCTGTGAGTGTATGCGTGCGCATGGTGGGAGCAGGGAAGATGGTTTTTCCAAGGGCAATCGGACAGCCTGAATGTTGTCCATCGCCAGCAGGAGCTGTTTGGTCTGCTTTCAGAAGCCACCCTCCAGAAGTGAAAACATAGTCTCCCTTGGATAAAGGCAAACATGAAGCAAATAACTTCTTGCAGCCAGAATACATAAAACTTTTTTGTTTTCCTTCTGCAGTCCACTTTTTTAACAGACAAAATAATGCTTCCTCTAGCTAATCTTACTCCCATCCTCTGGCCTGAGGAAACATCTGCTCTCCATGGTAAGCTTGGTTGTCCCACCTAGTTCCCTTTTAGAGTTCTCTTCTCTTCCACTGACATCAGTTGCCTCCACCTGCCCCCATTCCTGCCCACCAGTGTTCACTGCCACAGCAGCCCCGCAGCTAGGAGCCCACCCTGATGTCAAGGTTTTGCTCAGGGGAGGTTTAACCATCTTTACTTGACAGGGTTTTGGCAGCTCGTGCACCTTGCTGATACGCACCGCGTTCCCTTGAGTGAGATCAGGAGTGAGTCTGTTAGCCATGACGCTGTTCCCGCACAGATCGCTGATACGGCAGAAAAAAAATCACCCTGGCCAGTCCCGTGTCCTTGCAGCCTCTTCATCTATGTTATGCACTGGTTGTTTTCTTTTTGGAGCTGGGACTTTGTTCTGGGAGACAGAGCAGACCGCAGTGCTGTGGTGAATGACAGTTGGGAGCAGGTTTGTCACTAGTAAATTGGTCAGTGACTCCTGGAGAAGAGCACTGTCATGTTGGTGAGGTCCTGTAGACCAGGGCTAGTCAGCAGCTGTTCAGCAAAATGTTTTTTTCCTGGAAAGAGTCTGGGCTTGTGGTTTGCTTTTGAAACAAAACCATTTCCATACTCAAAAACGTGGCTGTCCCAGCTCTGCTGCCGAGGTGAGCTGCAGCTCCATTACAAGATGGAGCACTGTGGGTGGTTGTGTTGGGGCTTGACCCGTGGCTGTTTGTTAAGACAGTCTGACTATTGGCATTTCCCTCTCTGATGTGATCTTCCTTTGCTGAGATGTTCCCTTGGTGGGTTTCCCTTAGTGTTGTGTTTTCAGGCTTACCAGTGACAACGTGACTTATTGGGGAAAATAGAAAGCCCCAGGGGGGCACAGTGTGGATTTTACCCTCCAGGCATGGAAGGGCCGATCTGTGTTTTTCCTTCCTGGTAAGAAAAGTGGCCCAGTGGTGGGATTTCACAGAATTCACAGAATTCACAGAATGATTAGGGTTGGAAGGGACCTCTGGAGATCATCTAGTCCAACCCTCCTGCCAGAGCAGGGTCACCTACAGCACGTTACACAGGACAGCGTCCAGGCGGGTTTTGAATGTCTCCAGAGTGGGAGACTCCACCACCTCTCTGGGCAGCCTGTTCCAGTGCTCCACTACCCTCAAAGTAAAGAAGTTCCTTCTCATGTTAAGATGGAACTTCCTATGTTCAAGTTTATGCCCATTACCCCTCGTCCTATCACTGGGCGCCACTGAAAAAAGACTGCTCCCATCCCCCTGGCATCCTCCCATTAAGTATTTGTATGTATTAATAAGATCCCCCCTCAATCTTCTTTTCTCTAGACTAAAGAGACCCAAGTCCCTCAGCCTTTCCTCATAAGAAAGGTGCTCCAGTCCCCTAATCATCTTTGTTGCCCTTTGCTGGACCCTCTCCAGCAGTTCCCTGTCTTTCTTGAACTGGGGAGCCCAGAACTGGACACAGTACTCCAGATGCGGTCTCACCAGGGCAGAGTAGAGGGGGAGGATGACCTCCCTCGACCTGCTGGCCACACTCTTCTTGATGCACCCCAGGATGCCATTCGCCTTCTTGGCCGCCAGGGCACATTGCTGGCTCATGGTCATCCTGTTGTCCACCAGGACTCCCAGGTCCCTCTCCACAGAGCTGCTCTCCAGGAGGTCAGCCCCCAACCTGTACTGGTGCATGGGGTTATTCCTCCCCAGGTGCAGTACCCTACACTTACCCTTGTTGAACTTCATAAGGTTTCTTTCTGCCCAACTCTCCAGCCTGGCGAGGTCACTCTGTAAGGCAGCACAGCCTTCTGGCGTGTCAGCCACTCCTCCCAGTTTTGTGTCATCAGCAAACTTGCTGATGGTACACTCTATCCCTTCATCCAGATCATTGATGAATATGTTGAACAAAACTGGGCCCAGTACTGACCCCTGAGGGACACCACTTGTTACTAACCTCCAACTAGACTCTGCACCACATTTGTCTCTGGCAGAGACCATAAGGCATTGTGCCCCGCTAGCCAGTACATCACGTGTCCCCTCTGCTAGTCACCATAGTCCCACCACTATCTTTCCTACGTGAAAGAGGAAACAGTGCTTTGTTCTGACCTGGTCGGTTGTGTCCCGTGTGCCGTTCCCTGGACGTTTCAACCCACCCTGCGAGGGACTGCTTTTCTGCCCCTGAGCTGGGTGTTGAAGGGGTTGGATATTGGGTGGAAAGTGGGCTGCAGGTTCTCATCTCTGTGACTGCAAAAAGCGAAAATAGGTAAGGGATGAAAAAGAGAGAGCAGAGTACAGGAGCAGATGTGTGACCAGGCTTGGAACTGCTGAGGGGTGCGGAGAGCACTGGAGGAGAGCTTTCCTTGGTAGGAACTGGAAAGAGCCTGCTGGGAGCAAGTTTATTTGTGCTCAGTGTCACATGCATTTTATTGCCACAGACGCGCACAAAAGAGCAGTTCACAAAAGGAAAAAAAATGTAATTGCTGTTAAGAACACGTATATGCAGCCTTGCGAGAATTTTGTGGTTCTCTGGGAATTTAATATTCCAGGTCTGTTCTCACCGGCCGGTGACACTCTTATTCCAACCAGCGCACTAAATATTTGGTTTCATTCCAACAGCAGTGTAAAGCATGTTTGATATATCATTTTCATTGTAATTCTTTTGCAGAGATAATGATGTTTTCCCTGTCTCATTTCAGAACTGTAGCTGCTGAAGTCAGGAAGCAGATCTCAGGGCAGTATGGAGGGTCTCCCCAGCTTCTCAAAAACCTCAATATTGGAGGCAGCGTCTCTCATCATACAACTGTAAGTAATGCTTGGAACATGGAAGACTGAAGAAGATGTGCATAGTTATTTTGATTACCACTTGGAAAGAAATTGCAGTGCTGACAGGTTGTTGACCTAAGCAGCCCTGATAACACTGAGGAAAATAATTCCATGCAAAACCTGCTAATTTTGGAGGTCTCTATCTTGTAAACCAGTTGGTGTGGTTGACAATTTGTGTTTCTGCAGAGTCTTTGTAGGGCAAGGGGCTCCCTTGACCAGGTCAGGTGTTAGTTGTTTTATCCCAGGATTGCCTGGACTGGGCAATGAATTCCACCTGTATGTGTGGTTCTCTCCATGAAGAGCTCTTTGCAAGCTAGTGCACTTGTAGCTGTTGTCTTGTTTCTTTTCACTCTTGAGAGTGGGACCACAGCAGCTCGTCTACTCTTCAGAGGTATTTTAAATGTTATTGTGAAAGTTGAATGTGGTTACTCCTCAGGAATGTGTATTTACTTACAAGTTTACGGTCTACTTCCAAGAGCAGCTCAAATGTGTAGGCCATGTTGCCAGAATCTTGCTCTCTGAACTCAGATTTTCTTGCGTGGCCTACCAGTAACCTTCCAAATTTATTCAGTGTGGTGGTAAAAATTTCAAGAGTTCAGCAACTGGAACTGCGTTTTTGGAAGTGTTCCTTTGATTTGGGTTGTTGCTTCGGGTCATAGCAGTTTCTTTTGCAGCAGTCAACTTAGAAAACAAATATTATCGCATCTTGTTTTCTTCAAAGAGGGTTGATTAGGTCAGGCAGCGCTGGAAATATGCCCTGAATTTGATAGTCTGTACAAGCGTTGTGAGTTTGCAAGAATTCTCCTGTTTTGGAGTAGGGTCCTGTAGAGTTTCCCCAGTTTATGTACCGCTCTGCGCCCAACCTAATGCGGTCAAGCATTCTCATACAGAGCACAAACGCATTCTTGCAGCTAGTATCATCTCAAAAGCCATCTCCAAGACTAAGTTGACCTCTAGCTTAGAAGAATGACTACGCCGCAGGCTGAAAGTTCATCTTTAAGGAGATCTGACTGTGCCAGAGTCCCTGGGGATTGAAGAGGGCTGGAATTCCTGTCATCTCCCTCTGCATCAGCTGTGTGAGTAGAAGGAGAGCAGAGGGCTGGCTTTGTCAGCTGTGTGCCCAGCCTTAATGGTGAGTGAGCACGAAGGAGGAGGGGTTAATGAGAGCGGTGTGGCCAGGGCTAATGCTTTATTGCAGCAGCGCTCTGTAGGGGTGTTGAATGATAAAGCAAAGCCCTGACTTGGCAGTTCCGGATGGTCTTTTGCATAATCCAGTATTAGGGAATAGGGAGGGACCCCTGCTATTCGCGGCGTATGCTGGATGGAGCACTCAGGGTCTTTGAATCCCCTTCCCTGCAGCAATGGATAGCTGAGGAATAGACGCCTACTTTTGAAGAATCCATTGGATGCTCATCCCACAAGCTCCTGTGCCTCACTTGTCTCACACGTGGTTTCATCTTGGAACAAGTCGGCTGAATTACCTTTCTGCTCCCTGTTGCTTTCATATAGCAAGATCTCGTCTGCGTACCTCTCCAAGCTGTTCCTCAGCCAGCCATATTTTTGATCACTGTTTTTCCTTGTATCACCTCCTTTTGCTCTGAATTGTCTCTTCTGCTTTTTCTTCCTATTTCTAAGGTTTTTCCATTCTGCCATCATCACAGTGTGCACGCTCAATGCTTCAGTCTTGTTGATCTTCACATCTAATTCTTAATTCAGGATCAGATTTGTTGGTCACAGTATCGTCAGCCCTGTCTTCAGTTCTGGTATCTCTCTGTTGTGTTTTCTAGTAAATATATGCAAGAGTCTATAAAAACCCTGGAAAAGGTCATGCTAACTGGAAGCAGACTTTGAGCCTTTCCTATCAAACTGCATTGTGTGATGGTTGATGTGATAAGCTCCTAGTTTGTCATATTAGATTCTGGGCTGAGCAGAGATGCTCTTCAGAAGCATGTTTAACATGGAGCAGTAGTTTGTAGGAGATTGTCTGTAGGAAAAGTATATTTAGTTAAGTCATGAGTCTATGTCCTGAGGCTGCATAATATGACAGCGGTTTGCTTGTACTGAATTTTGGGTTAATTTCTCTCCCTTAGGCATCTGTCAGAATCGGCTGTGCCTGCCTGTCCTGGTTTGATAACAAACATTATGCAGAGAGAAAGCATTACTGCTGTGAAGCTGAAATAGCTGTTTGCTCTGGAAAAGTTCAGAAGTTTGTGTGTCGTTACACTTTTACAGAGAATAAATAGAAGGCCCTGAATCTGCATGGCAGTTTTGTGTAGCCATACTGGTTTGAAAGCCTAGAGTAGGGCACATAATGTGGGTTTAAATAGGAAGTTTATGCTAAAATGTATGGATATATTAATAATGCCGTGTGGTTGAGTTTCATGCGAGTATCTTCACGATGGCAGCAAGTTGCACTGTTGAGCGTGCAGCGTGGAACTGGAGGAATTTAATGATGATGATGGTCTCTTCTATCCAGTGCACCTTGCTCATCGTGTTGAGCACTTCCACAGATGGTTATGATCCAGATAAGGTCCGCACTGATTCTCTGTTGACAGTTGCCAACAGTAGCTGCTTAGGGTAATTCGTCTGAGAGCCTTAGCGCACGCAGTCTGATGGAGACATTTTTTACGGAGAAATGCGTGCTTTTGTGAATGTGGGGCCCTCAGCACTCTGCTTGCTTCAGCCTTTTGTGTCTTGTTGACTGAAGCCGGTGCAGGGACTTTTCACACCCGACAGACTTGCATGTGGTTGAACCTAAGGTAAATGCAAAAACCTGTCAGCTGAATTTTAGCAAGTCTCTTCCCTTTTGCTTCACGAGCAGCAGACAAAATGCTGCCAAAACTGTTTCTAATTTAGTATCTGGTAGAGCTGGGGAGAAGACACTGCTTTCAAATGACTGTACAGGAGCTTGTGGTTTATTAGTGTCAGCCTCCACCCTTCTGCCACTTTAGGAGCAGCTGATTTTAATTGCACATTTCTCAAACCACCAATACAGGTCCAAAGCCTTCAGAGGCTTTTCCTGTATAACTTAACGTGCTGAATTGGGACTCCTCGCAGGGTGCAGTCCTTGCAGCACTGAGCTTTTATTTTTGAAATCCAGAACAGAAGGCACTGACAGGTTGTTATTGAGAAATAGGAGCTGTTAAGGTCGTAGGGTTAGATGAAGGAGATTTTAATTTTTGAAGTTGCTTTTGCAAGTCTCTCAAATCCACTGGTAAATCGAGTGTGTGTTTGCTCCTTGCTGTCGGCGTCTGGGTTGTAAACCGTGTGCTGTGCTCATCTTCGGTGCATCAAGAGGTTCCATATTCCCTCGTGGGAGATGGGGCTTCTCGCCACCAAACTCGCTGATTGAATGCACTGAAAGCAGAGAGCTTGCGCTTCCCTTCAAAGAATTCCCCAGCATCTTGCAGGATGGGGTATTTGCTTTGTTTATTTGATGAACTGGACTGTTTACTATGGGCTATTATAGTCCCTGGTGACTAACCACTTTCTTTTCTTTCCAAGTTTATTTTTTCTGTTGAGCAACTCCTTGTGCTACGGTGCTTGTTAACTCTGTCTGCTCACCCTCTGTTGCACCGGCATTTCTGCTCGTTGCTGGATGCTGCAGTGTGGCAGAGACCCCATTCCTCTCTCTGGATTTCTGCACTAGCTTTACCTGGACGAAGTGGATTGTGCATTGTCAGAGGTTGGCATGAGTTACCTGAAGGGACCCAAAGCTTTCTCTGAGTCGGGGTGCGAATGCCTCGCTTTGCTGTTTAATGGCTGCTTGTTACGCTGCTTTGGTGGAGGAAGAGCAGAGTTTTGGTTTGTATCTGCAAATGGACTCGTAGTCTGTTTTTTCCCCTCTGTGTGCTGTCCTTTATGAGGGCAAATGATGTTATCAAAGGACAGAAAATAATCACTAGGTATCTGGACCTCTCTTCAATTGTAGCCCAGCTGTTTCTGTGTTTTGTTCTACATTCAGCAACTTTTGTTGCTCAATGATATTTACATTTTTCAGATTATATAAAGACTTATAAAATCTTGGATTTCTGAGTACTTCACTTTTGAGTGCCAAAGATAGTCCTTGAAATGTTTTTCGTTGTTGTCCAAAACTTGACTATTTTTTTTTTCCTAAGAAAAGAAATTTTTCTTAATTTTTTAAAAAAATCTTTAGAGGTATATTTTAATTAGAAGAGCAGCGTTTCACAGAACTTGCAAACAAGCAGAATGGAGGTATACTCAGTTGTTTTACAGAAAAATCACAGCTGTTTCCAAAGGATCAGGGGTAATATATCCTGTCTGTCGGTGTATGTTACGGCATAGTTGAATGTTAGTATGAGGAGGAACACTGTTATAAGAGATGCTAATTAGTCTGGGAATAAAGGGGTCTGGATTCTTGGACATGATGTGATCCGACCATGTCTGCTCTCAGCGCTCCATTTTCTGGATGGAAAATAAAGGTGCTGACATTTACATGTCTTTGTAAAGCAGGGCCGGGTTTATGGGCATTATCTGGGCTAATTGAGGCTTTGTCTTGGATTTATTGGATGTCAGACTTTGGTTGTGTATTCAAAGATAGTATCTAATTATTCAATAAGAGAATATAGGTTCCTTTGTATATTTTCATTGTTTATTTTAGCATCATTTAAAAGGAGAAGAAAAGATAATTTGTGCAAATGAATGGAAAACACTGCAAGGGAAAACACGACAGTATCCTATGTAGCATAGAAAAGGACGTTTTGAAGTGTTCAGAGCCAAGTAATTTTATCACCAAAATCACTTAAATGAAAAGGAAAATGAGCCAAGTCTTAATGCTCTCTCAAAGCTGATTAAGGCTTAATAGTGACTTCCATTATATGTATTTCCTGGAGGTTTCGCCCTGCCTTGCTGAATGGTCGGTCCTCATCAGACAGGGGAGGATGGGAGAGGCATCCACATCCTCTTCCCTGCCTCCTCCCGTTAGGGATTACTCACGGTTGACTCTGCGCTGGTGCAGG